ACTGGTTATATGTTGTACACCCCTGATCGAAAACGGTAAACCCATGTTTGTCACCTAAATGTGTTAAAAGCTTACCATACTAGAGAGTCATCAATGGCAACTGCTGCTGAACAGACTGTAGGGCCCGCTGTCTCTTCTGTCGCTATAGCCGCGGATCTGGCGCCATCTCCTGGTATTTTGGGTGCGGACGCGGACAGTGTGGTGCTTCACAATGCTTCTCAGCAGTGTGTAAGGTTAGCAAATTCAGAGATTTTAGAAAATCTTCACTCGTATTTTAATCATTTGACTGTGGATCAGAGAATAGGTAAAATTACTTTCTGATGTCCCTACACAAACAAATGTCCTGAAACATGTTAGTCCTATTAAGCAACATGCTTACTGTGTAAACTCAATGGAAAGATCTGTTATGCGTTAGCAGGTAGAGTATCTGCTGGAAAATGGTTTAGCCAAGTCCAGTTGCAGTCCCTGGAGTTCTCCGTGCCTACTTGTTCCCAAACCCCATGGCACATTCAGATTCTGTACAGATTACATTTACATTTAGTCATTTGCTTTTATCCAAAGCGACTTACAAATGAGGACAATGGAAGCAATAAAAATCAACAAAAGAGCAATGATATACAAGTGCTATAACAAGTCTCAGTTAGCTTAACGCAGTACACGTAGCAAGGGTTTTTTAAATAATATAATAAATACACTGAACAAAATTATAAATGCAACACTTTTGTTTCTGCCCCCATTTTTGATGATCTGAACTCAAAGATCTAAGACTTTTTTTATGTACACAAAAGGCCTATTTCTCTCAAATATTGTTCACAAATCTGTCTAAATCTGTGTTAGTGAGCACAAACAGAGAATAGAAGAAGAATAGAGCATGCTAGTGTTGGAGGTCTTTTTTTGCTTTTGTTATTTGTATAATAAATTAAAACCGATAGAATACAAAAAGTTTAGAAAGCAAGTGTTATTATTTTTTTTTTAAGAAAACAAGCATCAAATGAACAGAGTGCAAGTCTAAAAGGGACAAGTTTTTTTTTTTTAAAGAATAGAATTAGAATAGAGAGTGCTAGGGTTAGAGGGTCAAATAAAGATGGAAGAGATGTGTTTTTAGCCGATTCTTGAAGATGGCTAAGGATTCAGCTGCTCGGATTGAGTTGGGCAGGTCATTCCACCAGGAGGGAACATTTAATTTAAAAGTCCGTAAAAGTGATTTTGTGCTTCTTTGGGATGGCACAATAAAGTGATGTTCACTTGCAGAACGCAAGCTGCTAGAGGGCACATAAGTCTGAAGTAATTAATTTAGGTAAAGGGGTGCAGAGCCAGTGGTGGTTTTGTAGGCGAACATCAATGCCTTGAATTTTATGTGAGCAGCTATTGGTAAAAATTAATCTTGCTGCCGCGTTCTGGATTAATTTTAAAGGTTTGATAGAACTGGCTGGAAGACCTGCCAAGAGAGCATTGCAATAGTCCAGCCTGGACAGAACAAGAGCTTGAACAAGGAGTTGTGAAGCATGTTCCGAAAGAAAGGGCCTGATTTTCTTGATGTTGAATAAAGCAAATCTGCAGTTTTAGCAATGTGGTCTGAGAAAGTAAGCTGATCATCAATCATAACTCCAAGGTTTCTGGCTGTTTTTGAAGGAGTTATGGTTGATGTGCCTAACAGGATGGTGAAATTGTGATGAAACGATGGGTTTGCTGGAACCACAAGTAGTTGGATTACCATAAGGTAAATGCTGTGACTGTGTCAGACAGTTACCCGTTACCTTGAATGAAGGACTGTATAGATAACATCGGTTCTGCACGTTTCGTTACAAAGCTTTATATGCTGAAAAGATATTGGCAAGTTCCACTCACCTCACAAGCTTCTGAGATTTCTGCCTTTGTAACCCCAGATAACTTTCTCCAGTATACGGCGATGGCTTTTGGGCTTAGAAATGCCCCAGCAACTTTCCAGCATCTCGTTAATATAGTTTTACATGATGTACCGAATTGCAATGCGTATCTTGATGATCTGGTGTTGTATTCGTTGAGTTGGTCAGAACACATTTGCCTGTTAAGAACCGTGTTTGAACAACTCGTTGGAGCAAATTTAACACTTAACCTAGCAAAATGTGAATTCAGCAAAGCAACTGTCACTTACCTTGGTAAGGAGTTTGGTCAAGGCCAAGTGCGACCGGTAGAGGCCAAGGTCATGGCCATAGTGGAATTTCCGATTCCTACTACCCGTAGAGAATTACGGAGGTTCTTGGGTATGGCAGGCTATTATCGTAGCTTCTGTAAGAATTCCTCGACCGTCGTGAGTCCTCTTACTTCACTGCTTAGCCCGTCTAAACCTTATAAGTGGTCTGCTGAGAGTCAACATGCTTTTGATTCAGTCAAAACTTTGATGTGTAATGCACCTGTTTTAAAGGCACCTGACTGTACACAAAATTTTAAACTGGAGGTTGTTGCAAGCGGCGTGGGTGCTGGGGCTGTTCTTATTCAAGAGGATGAGAATGGAATAGAACATCCTATTAGCTATTATTCTCGAAAGTTCAACAAACATCAGCTGAATTATTCAACTATTGAAAAAGAAGCTCTTGCTTTATTTCCCGCATTCCAACACGTTGAAGTCTACCTTGGTTCCAGTAGTCTTCCGATTGTGGTATATACAGATCACAATCCTCTTGTGTTTTTAACTCGAATGAACAACCACAATCAGCGTTTAATGCGTTGGGCTCTTATTTTCCAGAACTACAATCTAGAAATCAGACACAAGAAGGGTTCGGGGAATGTCTTGGCTGATGCTCTCTCTCGAGAGTATAGTTGGTGTGGTGTTTTTTTTTTTTTTCACAAACAAGTTTGTTCTTAACAGTGGGAGTGTTACGTCCGTAAATATCCTTGTGGGAGTGCCTGTGTTTTCTTGTCTTTTTTCTCTCTCTCCCCTTTCCCTGTCGATCTTTTTAGGCTGCCTCCCTTGACTGCTGATTGGCTCTGAAAGCTGTCAGTCATCATTAAACAACGTGATGCCGACCTATCCGCTGCCAGCTAATTTTTCTGCCGGCAGATAAATAGGATGCTGAAAGGAGTAAATGGAGACCTCTTTTGCTCCCTGTCTTTTTGCTGTAATTTTACTCGTTTTTGATTTGTTTTATTTGTTATTCGTTTATGCTAAAATCCTTTTTATTTTCCATTTTTTAAACAGTACCACCTTTTGATTTGCCATTTTGTTTGGTTATTTTGTTGCTACTTTGTTATTCGGATGGCATTGCTCTCTGAGCTTTGATGAACTTATGCTCTATGACGTTTACTCTTTACTCAAGAGAAACCACAACAAATTCCTTGTGTGGAAATTTAGGAAATTTTAGCAAGCTTAGGTAAAACATGAACCAAAAAAAAAGGAATACTATCTATATTAGGAGCATTAGTATTAATATTATGATGTTCTGTAAATTGCATTATTGACAAACAATTTTCCTGTTTGCCACTGTAAAGTTGCTTTGATACAATCTGTATTGTATAAAGCGCTATACAAATAAAGGTGACTTGACTTGACTTGTTTGCATCAGTTATTGGAACCAAACATCATGGAAGTCATTCGTTTTTTTTTTTGTTTGTTTTTTTTTGTAAATGAATTGATCTGAATAATAACCAGTTCTTCATTCTCAACACTTAACACTTTTTGCTTGGAAAGTCTTCTTGATATAGCAGAAACCTGATCTGATTTGCATGCCTTTTTAGCCAGTTGGGGCTGGTCTAGATTGCTGATCACCTCAATTTATTTTGGCAGATCATCTTGGACAAACTAGTTATAGCTACCAGACCACCTTGTACTGGCAAAAATCCAGCTACCGTATTATGTCATAACGTTTTGAATGCAAGCACTTTTTGTAGCAAGCACTTGTAGGGTTTGATATCAGAAATAAGCAAGGCTGACAGATTTATTTCCTTGTTCAAATTTTTTGGTGAGCCTAATGGAAACCACTACCATTCTGATTATGGTGGACTTGCTCGTGAGAGCATTGAGTCTAGGAATGCTGGGCTTGTTTCCCTTTTTAGTTTTCTCTGTTCTGGTGAGTGTGATGGGTACAGCCACCACTTCTGGAAATTACTCATGTCCTCCCTCACTTTACTTCTCTTTTGCCATTGGCGAACATTGTAGCCTGAAAACAGAAAAGTCTTTGTTGTGCCCCGGGGGTTATGCCAGCACATCCAGAGAGGTGCCAGGCGGTTCCATTCTCTGTGCCCACACGGACCGAAGAAGTTCTGGAGAGTGATGAGAGCGGTTGCTTTTCAGAAAGTCAGCTCCTTCATGGCCACTCCACACAGCTGAAGGGTTCAGCCTGTAAAACAACAGCTTCTATCTTTCATTGATGTTCCCATTCTGATGATGAGCAATTAAAGCTGTCAGACTGATGTGAAACTGCTTTAAATTCAACATCAGTTATGTGCATCAGTTTAGGGAACACCATATCAGGGAGCATTGAGGGCTTTAAAAAAAAAAAAAAAAAACTAAGAGGGAGAAATCACAACTATTATTAGGAGGCTTTAGCTTTTCTCAAGAGTTGCTTTTGAGTTTTTATTTCTGTGGTTGAATGCTCGACACATTAATTCAGCTTCTTGCCGTTTGTCTTAAAGGGATAGTTCACCCAAAAATTAAAATGATGTCATTTACTCACCTTCAAGTTGTTCCAAACCTGTATGAGTTTCTTTCTTCTGCTGCTTGTAACCACTGACTTCCTTAAAAAGAATACTATGGAAGTCAATGGCTAACAGCAACTTTTAGGCTACCAACATTCTTCAAAATATCTTCTTTTGTGTTCTACAGAAGGAAGAAATTCATACAGGTTTGGAACAACATGAAGGTGAGTAAATAATGACAAAATTTTCATTTTTGGGTGAACTATCCCTTCAGTGTTTTACAGTAGATTTAAAAACCATTTAGTTTTTGATAAATGATTATGTAGACATGTAGTTATCAGGTGTGGTTTTTATTAAATCCTGATTTGTTCTTTTTTCTCTTTCAGATCATGCCCCCTAGATAGCAGACTCTTTGCCTCACTGGCTGTCGGCCCCTCCGGATTGGAGAGGATGCCTCCCCGGAAGCGCACACGGCCCACCCTGGGCTTCCTGTGTTGCTTCAGCAGCAGTGAACCCCCTGAGATCAACCTGAAAGACAGTGTACCACTGCAGCTGCTGGAGTTCAGTGCCCCCATGCCCCCAGAGGAAGAACTGCATGCCCGCTTCTCTGAATTAGTGGTTAGTATCTGCCAGCTATTCTGGTGGTCAGGTTTATGCCATCAAATCTATCTGTTTAATTTACTACTTGATCCTTTCAAGGAATCCATATCCATAATCCATGTAACACATACGTGGAAAATTCAAGGGGCTAACTGTGTGTAATCAGTGTCACAGTGACTTAGCATCTAATTTCTAACATCAGGTAGTTTGGAACACTTGTAGTACAAAAGTTGATCATAAAAAAAGGCTTTAGGAATATATGCAGACTTGCATTATTGAGGTTGAGGCATATTCTTTCTAGTTCAGTGAAGCAAATTCAATCACCCTGCTGCTGCCAAACAACAATGGTTTGGAGAATCCTGAATAATACAGTTTGGCAAGCAAAGTAGGGGGTGTAATCTACAAATTACTTAAATATCCAATTAAAGGGGTTGTGACATGAGAAATCAAAATTTCCTTTGACATTTTACATATAAGAGGTCTTTGTCTTATTAAAACATAATTTTATAGCTTTAATAAGCCTCCTCATTATAAACAACACATTTATGTAATCAAGCACCAAAATGGCTTGTTTTTATATTGTGGCATTTGTGACATCAAATGAGAAAATACATTTGCATATGTCTGCCTTAACAGCAAGACATCAACAAATAGTTATACATCATTGCACCATAGGCTACGCCAACTGGCCTTCAGTTCTCATTGTTTAATTATGTCATTTGCATGATACATTCTTATCTGACATAAGTAAGGTAAAAGTAAGGAATAATTGTTGGGCTGCACAATTAATTGAAATTAAATAGCAATCGCGATTAAGCAAAAGCTGCGATTGTCATGCGTATCTTGTCAGGGAAGCACGGTTCTGTGAACAGTAGTAAATCTCCATCTGAAAGCCAGAGGGCGCTCTCACGCGGAAACTCCAAATACACCCCGCAGAAGAACGTCTCGGGTTACTTATGTAACCATGGTTCCCTGAGTAGGGAACGAGACACTGCGTCCTCTAGGGGTCGCTATGGGGAACGCCTCGTCGTGACTCGTATCTGAAGCATACATTGAAAAAAAAACACCAACTCGTTGGCCGGTATAGTGATTGCTGAATAAACAGAAGATTTAACTGCTTTCATTGATTCAGTGCGACTAAAAAACACACAACTACAACAATATATGGTTTATCTGAGTTCGTCTTACTATAATTTTTATTATAATAAAGTATATAATAATGCAATGCTAATCGACATTCATCGATTATTTATCACTGCTTAGAATACTATGAAATATGTTGCGTGCCTTATTCTGTGTAAGAAGCCACGTCATCTCACAGAAGGATTTATTTCAAACCAGTGGCGTAACTTTGCTTTGAAAAGTGGTGGGGACACCGCGTAACTCGTTTTGATAGTTTTTTATTTAATAACCTAATTTACTTAGGGACTGGGTTTAGAGTTGAACAAACGTAATTTTTGCTTTTCAAAAATACATCGATGTACCAGGGGCGGTGCCAGAGAATTTTGAACGCAGGTAGATCACTGATAGAGGGAGCTGGGCAATTCAGGGCTCCAGACTCATTCTTCCCACTGCTCGCTCTTTTGTGATTAACTTTCTCAGTTGGCTGCACGAGCATGTTTTTTTTAGTTTTTTGTTGCGCTACAACATGCTGTTAATCAATGCACGCTGATTAACTTTTATGGTAGTTTATAGTTATATGGAAACGAAAGTAGTTAACATTCAACCCGTTCTTTTTCATCAGTAGTATTATTTGTGATTTGAATTTTGTGAACGGGAGTTCCTCTTTTGCCATGTTATAAGCTGGGCTTCGGATGCTTTCACTTTCGATTTCACGATCTTGTCAGGTTTTACAATAAAATATAATGGTCTGTTTTGCTTACATCTATACACCTTTCACGTTTTAAGACAAAAAAAAAAAAGATGGATTCATTATTTTTAATTAAAATGCACACCAACAATAAAACAGTATTCAATGACAAACTAGCTTACAAAACGTTATTAACAAAAACGAATAAGATGAGGCATGGCCTACACGCTGATGAATTCTGACTTTATATCTCGCCCTGGCAAAAAGTGGTGGGGACATGTCCCACCCGCAAATTACGCCTATGTTTCAAACACTCAACCAACATTATGAAGTGAGTTTGGAATAAAAACATGTTATTTACAGCATTTACTACACAGAGACATAGTTCACTGACAAGCTACGCAAACAGCTTTCATAATCGCAGAACGATTTATTCGATTTCAGTCTGCGATTATGAACGCAGTTTTGCGTACCTTGTCAGTGAACTACGGCTCCGTGTAGTAAATGCTGCTCCATCTGAAAGCACGTGATGGATGCAATTCTGACTTTTTTTCTCGCAATTGAGAGTTTATATCTCGCAATTCTGACTTTTTTTTTTCGCAATTGTGAGATTATAAGTCCAATTTTGTGGGGGGAAAAAAAGACTGATAAGTTCTCAGAATTGTGAGTTTATATCACGCAATTCTGACTTTATTTCTAAAGCACGTGATGGAGATTAACTACTGATCACAGAACTGGCTTTACTGACAAGATGCACAAGACATGCTGCATTCACGCCATGTCGTAATAGGGTATATGTCGAACGTCACCTGACCAAACCCGGAAAACAGGTCTCATTGCTTTCGCTTGTCGGAGAACGTACTAACAGCCGTATTAAATAATAGCGATATCTATGGACTTTTAAGATAATCAGTTAAACTAGCTAGCTGTTTTGGTGTATTTCTATTAAAGGCACGTTCATGTGGAGATGTGGAGACTCTGAAAGCACTAGTTTATTAATAAATAATTAAAATGTCTTCTTTTCCCCCCGACACGTTCACAATCACTTTGCCGGTGCTTTGAGGGAGAACGTACTAACAGCCGTATTAAATAATAGCGATATCTATGGACTTTTAAGATAATCAGTTAAACTAGCTAGCTGTTTTTATTGTTGATGTTTTATTAATTTTTTTTAAATATAAATGTTAGTGAAAAGAATTAAAATAAAAAACTTTTAGATATCATTCCGCATATGTGATGGACATTGGTTATGATAATCTTTGGAATCTACTCTGAAGGCATCTTGAGTAAAATTGCTTCATATTTAACAAAGCATATGCAAAACACTTGAACCGGAAGTGACGAGACCAGGTTAACAGAATACGGAAGTCTGTTGCACATAACCCCCATTACTGAGATTTTGAAATGACAACACGTGATGTTCTACTTGGAGCTGTTCACACCCTTGGACTCGGAACTATCGCACTATCAATGCTTAAAAATAGCGCCTAATGAATCTGAGGTGGTCATGTGGTAGTGGTACAAGTTGTAGCTCTCAGAAAACTCCCAGTTCACAAGTTGTAATTACGAGTTCTACGAGGACGTGAACACTTTTTACAAGTTGGAATCTCACGGTAATTATGATATAGCGTGAACGCACCTACAATCGCATTCGATTAATCAGGCAGCCCTAATTAATTGACGACGGGATGTTGAATTACTAAACTATAATGCACACCCTTTGTGTCATTTCCATTACACCTTGGGTGTGCATTATTTTCTAATAATTCAATGGACCAGAGTCAATTATTCCGCTTATACTACAGTTACCACACCTCAAGACATTGTTCAGATGATGTATTTCAAGACATTTTTCAGGTTTTTGTCATTAAAATGCTCTTGTGTGTAGGATTAATTTCTTATGCATCTCATCCCACACCTCCGTTGCTAATTCCAAAACATTTAGACCTAGTAATGGAGGCTCAAGCCATTGATAGCAGACTAATGCAGTTAATAATGAAGTTACTAGAGAGAGAGAGAGAGAGAGATTAAATGTGTGTGAATAACCTGAGTAAAAGGCACTTTGCCTGAGTCTGTGCGTCTCTCGGCAGTGTTCAACAGTAGCGTCTATGCTAATTCTGTAGCTTTTAAGTTGCTAAACTATTTTACTGATAACACAGCAGTGCTGACAACATGTTTCTGTGTGTGAATGTCCCTACTGTATGTGTGTGTGTTTGTATGGGAGAGTGGGAGAAATAGAGTATGTGCTTTCTGTACATAATACAACGTAATTTTGTGGCAAAAACATGGAAATAATTTGTTTTTATCATGTTTACTATATTTATTAGCTTGATCAGTATCGTTGTGGGTTTTGTTTTTTTGCTCCTTTAAGCTGTAAGTACTGTTATGAGTCATTTGTTCATTGATTCCATTCTGTCCTCTTGGGAAATTTCTCTCTATGTACAGTATGTGCATGTAGAGTGCATGTTTGTGTTACAGGTGGGCGGTTCCTTGTGATAATTTGCTGGAGGCTATGATTGGTTCTCCTCCTCACCTGATCCAGACATAAGGACCGCCCCAAACATTCAACCTGTGGCATCATTGTGTATTCGTGTGTGACTTTGTTGCTCATTGCCTTGCTGTTTCGCCATTGTCGTTTATGTCTTAGACTTAGAGTGTCTTACCAGAGAGATTGTGAGTGTGATTGTAATTTTGTGATAGTGTTTGTGATTTCAACATGTGAAATTTCTTGTTAACTTGACCCATGCCTTTTGGATTCTGATTTTGAATGGTTAGCTATCAACTAGTATATATCTTTTGTAAATACTTTTAATTGCATTTTTGGCAAGTTAAGGGATGTAGGGGCTTTGATACCATTTTATTTTATCTTTTCACACTGTTTTTAGTCTAGGGAATCAGGTAAGTTTAAACTGTATTTTTGGTTTATGAAGTGTAGAGGGTTAAAAAAGATCATTTTGTTTGTTATTATGGCCTTGTATGCCACTGATGCTAAACCCTTATTAGGGGTTCAAGCACTATTGTAATTTTGTAATATTCTGCGCTAAAACTGATCGGGCAGACCAAACCGTAAGGCCTAGAGAGCTGAAACTTGGTCAGATGGTAGTAGTCTGGCTTGCTACTCAGACCCATCGAGTCACCCCAATCGGCCTATCGGGGGCGCTACAGCGAGCAAAAATGCAAAATCTCTCATTACTCCTAGACCGTTTAT